CAAAAATTTAAACAACTTTATTTCAGTTTAAGTTTCACACTTTCCCACTCAATTGTTTTACAAATCTCATATTCCTGATGTTACTTTAGGTACAACTCCAATTATGGCCATCAAAATCTTTAATGAGAAATTACTTCAGAGTTTTAATTTTATAGTATAAACAAGGCATCCTATTTGTGCTTTGGAAAAAAAATCTTTTACTTATTTATTTTAAAATATTTATTTATTTTAGAGAGAGAGTGAGCAAGTGCAGAGACAGAGGGAGAGAGAGAGAATCTCAAGCCGACTACCCACTGAAAGTGGAGCCTGAGGCAGAGCCCAATCTCAGGACTCTGAGATCATGACCTGAGCTGAAATCAAGCGTCGGAGGCTCTAGTGACTAAGCCACTACACGCCCCAGAAAAATCTTTTGAAGAAGAATGCTACAGAAATACAAAGTATGTCTGTCTCTCATGAATAAATAAAATCTTAAAAAAAAAAAACATGAAGTAAAGTCTTTTTTCAATGTTAGATCTTTATAGTATAACAAACTGTTAATAAAATTCTCCTTATGAGACTCTTGGCTTAAGCCAAGACTATTTCTTGTATATATTTCTTATATAATCTGTTTTCAAAATTAGGAATCCTTAAACATAAAAAATGAAAAGTGATTTCTACTTTGTTATACCTGAGAACGAAAGAAAAAAAATCTAGCAGCTTAAACTAGATTCAAAATATTAAAATATTAAAAGAATCAAAGTATTAAAAGAATCAGAATCAGATATCGAAGCTGGAAGGGACCTCTTAGCAGTCCAACCCCTCAATGAGAACCAAGGAGCCAGAATTTTAGGAAGGTCAAATGACTGCATAACATGCTTCTCTTAATTCTTTGCCTGTGCTCTTTACACAACACTTCCACGCTTCCTTGTATCAAAATGAAAACTACAGACTTACATTTTATTGCCTACATACACAATTGTGTACATCATTCATAAGGAACCTGCACTAGCAACTAATAGTCTTTTTCCGTCTAGTCTATCCACAGAGAAAAACTTTCAAAGTATTTTAGAGATTTCCAGATATTTCAGAGAAGTAGACTACAAGACTTGCTAATCCCTCACTTCTTCAGATCCATGGTCTCTTACCCGTTTTTAGTCACAGAATCTCATCAAAACCATGGACCCTGTCCTCAGAGGAATGAATAAAACAGGAGCTTCAGAGATGTCAAGGTCTTCAGGCAGAGATCCTTTGCACAGACTATCAAACTTGCCTCAACAATAACAAAATCGCCACATTTATTTGGACTATATTAATAATCTACCAATCTACGTTTCTCAGGACCATCATCTGACCTTGGGTACTCAACTGACGGCCACCGAGAAGTGGCATATGTTCCGCCACTAGAAAACAACTTCCTGTGGTCACTTAATGGTTCAAGTGTAAAGATTCACAATGTATTGCTGAGATAAAGAAAAGTTTCTCCCTTGATACTCTGGAATGTTTTCTTTCATTAAATGAAAGCAACAACCCATCAGGTTTTCCTTTTCTGCCTTGTATCAAATGCAGCAGCTTCCCTTAGTCCGGATTTTTCTAACATCATTATTTCACATATTGCTCCCCTTCCCACCCTTCTCTCTTCCCTCTAGCACTTGGCTTTTATTCTTTTACTAATGTGTTATGAATTTGTGTTTTAAGATTTCTTTTGCCTTTTGCAAACTTTTACTGTGTTCAAAATGAATAATTTTTAGAATAATGAAAATGATTAATGTATAGAATTTCTCTCACATTTCTTACATTTAAACTTTTTAACTGTTCTATACTTTTTAAACTTCTAAATTTAGGTATCATTTACATAAAATAAAATGCTAATATCTTAAATGCTTAACTCCATCAGTTATGACAATTTTTTTTAAAACATTTCATCTATTCATTTGAGAGAGAGAGCACAAACGAGCAGAAGTGGGTGATGGAGGGAGGGGCAGAGGGAGAGGGAGAAGCAGATTCCCCACTGAGCAGGAAGTCCAACATGGGGCTGGATCCCAGAACCCTGGGATCATGACATGAGCTGAAGACAAACGCTTAACCGACTAAGCCACCCAGGTGCCCCAGTTACGACAGTTTTAAAATTATTGTCTGCTTTATATTCTTTTTGGAAGCATGAAGGCTATAAATGAACAAAATAGTTGATTCATTCTTGAGTCGATCTGTGACAGGTTGGCAGGGGTAAAATGGAAAAGGGTGGGATTAGAAATAAGAAGACAAGATAAGGCATTATAACAATCATACAGGTAAGAGTGACAGGGTTAGTCCAGAAAGGTAGCAGTGAGAATTAAAAGGGGGCAAGATAAAAATGATATTGCTATCAAGGCTGGAAAATACTATGAAAATGAAGAGAAAATGAAGACTGAGGAGCACACTTTATACATTAAGGATTTATTTATTCATTCAACAAACTACTATTTTGAATCAGGCATAAAAAAGTCAGATTTCTTGCCTCAATATCATAGCTGCAGCTATGTAGAAATTTAGTCAAGAACTCAGAATCCTTAACCTTCTAATAGTTAACAGAATATTCTCAATATGATAAAAAATGAATTACATAACTAAATACTATTATTGTAGTGAATAAAGGATCCAGTTTACAGGCTGGCTGGCTATTTACCTGGTTTCTTGATAAAATTAAAATTTGAAAAGTGACGACTTGCATAATGAGATTTACTAAATTTCAAATCGGTGGTACATGTTATTTCACACACACACCCTCTCCCCGGAAAACCCCATTCAAGAAAAAAGTTGATTCACAAACTTAACTTTCAGATCGCGTATTAGAGTAATAGTTTGGTCTGAGGCTATCAAATACAAAGCACCTATTAAATATACTCTAATCCCTATACTTATTTAACTCTCTTTGTAAACAGTTACTATATATTTCTCAAATCTTAACCTAGGAATTTTCAAGGTATCTAATTTCACTTTGGTTTCTTCATTACAAGTCAAATTAAATACCTTGAAAAATCTAGCATTAAACGATCTTCTTTGAAGCAGATGGCCCCTCTACTATTGTTCTTTCCCTCAGCAGAAACCCCTTTCAACAAAAGTAGTTTAATGTTATGATTCATTCATTAGCAAACATGAGAGTATCTACTAAGGGTCAAACACTGTGTAAGAATTAGAAATATAAACACATACTAATTAATATACTACTACTAACAAAAAGCTTAATTCAACAGTGATCTATAAGCACCAATAACTCAAACATGAAAATCTAGAAATGAACAGTTAAGTGAATGAATAACAACATCAATATGCCGAAGAATAGTCCGACGTAGGATATGCTCTTAACACTTGGTTTGAGACAATGCCATATTCAAAATGAAAGCAGAAGTAAACAAGGTCAGGACATATGACTGCTTATTTTATTATTTAATGATGACTAAACAGACTGATGTAATAGATTACTAAGAAACTATACTAAAAATTTTTTCTCCAATAAGAATACAAGCTTATTAACTACTCCTTATTTCATTACTCTTCACCTGCCTTCTAATACAAACACACATTCTACCTCTTTTCCATACCAGTGCAATACACAAAGAATTCAGCCCTTTAATGTTTAAGTTTATTGATTATAAATAATACTCATTTTTGGTGTCATTTGATTATAAATTTCTCAGTCAAAACAATAAAAAAAGAATACAATTCAGGCATTCATCAATGAATAACAAAAGTTGTTAAACTTAATTCTATAATTAAAAAGGTATAAAATCAGCATAAAACATATTACTCTTAAGTTAGTTATGTAGGAAGGAAAAACAAATCACTCTTAAATGCTCTAAACTTTCCTAATTGATACTTCAAAAGACAGAGTTTTGGCCCAAACTGAAGCAAACTAGCAACCGTAAACCATAACTGGGTCTAGCCTTTTCTGAAAAATGGTAATTCAGAACAAGAAAAACATGTATGTGTCCAGAGGTTGTGGTATCTTCAATCTCAAGAAAGTAACACCCATATTCAATTACCCCCATCCTGCACATATTTTATTCTCCCAAGTTCTTTGGACTTAAAAAAAAAAAAAAAAAAGAGTATCCCTTAAATATAAATATATTGCGAAATTACTCATAGAAGACAAAATGTGAACCATATATAGTTAATATTATATTAAGATGGGTAAGAGGCAGGCTGGGGGTAATGAACATAAAATTATGAAGTTAAAATTTAGCCAAGTAGTATAACTTTGATTCTCCAAAACGGATTTTAATCAATTTAGGGGGAAAGAAACATTTGTTTAAAAAGATGCAATTTAGTTCTGTGTGTAAATAATTAATAGCACACCAAACGTGAACATTATTGAATTTCTATGGTGAAAGTGAGTAATTTAAAAATTGGAAGTGCTCTAAAATATTAACTCAATTTTATAGGAAACAGGAAAGAATGTTAGAAAATTGCTTATCAAAAACTGAAGGGATGCAGGATTGGAGCCATTCACAATCATACCAATTAAATCTTGAGGAGCAATTATGGCAAACAGAAGCCAAAGATGCAAAATTACCACTGGTCAGTCAAGTCTATTTTACGCCTAAAGCTTCTTCTTTTCATAAGTCATTAAACAGTTTTTTTTAAAAAAATGCTATATAAAGATTCCACAATTTCCATTTATAAATACACTCTCAGCTACATTTTATTTCTTAAAAAGTCATATTCCAAACACAAAAGCAATCAAGTAAGAGAAAAACAGGCTTAATACTGATTTCTTACTGCCAAATAGAAAGAAATAAAAGAAAGGAAAGGTGGTCAACATCCCAGAAGGCATTTCTGCATAAAAAGAGTTAAAGGACAGAGGCTCAGCTGAATAGCCAGTGACCATTTGCAAGCCTCCTAGGTATATTCCCAGCAGACACATTATCAGATTAAAGGCACAGTAAACAAACGGGGCTGAAACCTTTCTTTGTCCAAGCCCAGCCTCTTCTTCCTGTGATGTCATACTACAAATCTAGCAAGCCTTTCTTTTCTACTTCAGAGAAAGCCCATCTCACAATACATCTGGCAACGGAGGAAAAGGCTTCAAGCCAGCAAGAGCTAACACGCCTAGGAATTTATTTCAGAAACTTTGAAAGACTCTTCTGCTTACCACCATCTGGAATCCACTGCAGGAATACCAAAAAGAAAAACTCCATTTAAAAGAAGAAGTAAGTGAGACCAAACTGGGAATGTTTAAGTCTCTGAAACTGCACTGAAAGCAAAAAAAAAAAAAAAAAAGGATTGCTACCTTTGGCTTAAATAATCTGGAGCGTAAAGAGACTTTTTATTCCCAACTCAGAACCCAGCTTTTCTTTACATTTATAATCCAACAGGTTGGCTTCACGGACTATATTTTTCAAAAGTTGTTCGACGGTTACCTAGACCCTGGATTCACGGATATTCTGGAGATTAGAAGAAAAGATTTGCCTGTCGAAGGACCAAGTGGAAACTCTGCCAACAACGAATTTCATGTTTCTTACCAAGATCTCAAAGAAAAAGGAAGTATTTCTAAAATCGCCCAAAGATACAAAGAACCTGCAAATACTCCGGAGGTTATAAAGCCGGCACAATCGGAATACCAAAGGCTGCAGCTGCCCCAAGGACTCCGGTACAGTAGAGCGGCCGTGCCTGTATGATGGTAAGCAGTAACGGCTCCAGCTGCTCCTATGACGACTCCTTTAAGTACACTTTGTACGGGTGCATGTTTAGTATGGTGTTTGTGCTTGGGTTAATATCCAACTGTGTTGCCATATACATTTTCATCTGCACCCTCAAAGTGCGAAACGAAACCACAACGTACATGATTAACTTGGCAATGTCAGACTTGCTTTTTGTTTTTACTTTACCCTTCAGGATTTTTTACTTTGCAACACAGAATTGGCCATTCGGAGATCCACTTTGTAAAATCTCAGTGATGCTCTTTTATACCAACATGTACGGAAGCATTCTGTTCTTAACCTGTATAAGTGTGGATAGGTTTCTGGCAATTGTCCACCCGTTTAAGTCAAAGACTCTGAGAACAAAACGAAATGCAAAACTCGTATGCATTGCTGTGTGGCTAACTGTGATAGGAGGAAGTGCGCCCGCAGTTTTTTTTCAGTCCACCCACATTCAGGAGAACAATTCCACAGCAGCCTGCTTTGAAAAATTTCCAGAAGCCACATGGAAAACATATCTCTCAAGGATTGTAATTTTCATTGAAATAGTGGGATTTTTTATTCCTCTAATTTTAAACGTAACTTGTTCGAGTATGGTGCTAAGAACTTTAAATAAACCTGTTACATTAAGTAGAAGCAAAATAAACAAAACTAAAGTTTTAAAAATGATTTTTGTACATTTGGCCATATTCTGCTTCTGTTTTGTGCCTTACAATATCAATCTTATTTTATATTCTCTGATGAGAACACAAACACTTGTTAATTGCTCAGCAGTGGCAGCAGTAAGGACAATGTACCCAATCACTCTTTGCATTGCTGTTTCAAACTGTTGCTTTGACCCTATAATTTACTACTTCACGTCGGACACAATTCAGAATTCAATAAAGATGAAAAACTGGTCTGCTAAAAGAAGTGACTTCAGATTCTCTGAAGTTCAGAGTACAGAGAACTTCATTCAACATAGTCTGCAGACCTTAAAATGTAAGATATCTGACAATGAATCTACAATATAAGCTGCCTGAAATAAAACCACTGGGACTTCACTGGGAACCTCTAAGTTCCTTCAACTGTGAACAGTTTTTTCTTGGACAACTATTTCTCCACCTCTGAAAGAAACACGTGGACATTTTAAAGTTATAGTATAAAAAATTGTATTTGATGTGTTAGGCATTAAAATGTATTCTATGCTTGTATACATACCATTTTATTTTTCTGAGCCATTTTGACTTGTACCTTCCTCTTCATAAAAAATCCCTAAAAGACTTGTTCAAAGCTTTAAACTATGATTTAAATCATGTTGCGACCATGTGTACTGTTTTTTAATTTCTTAGCAATTTTAAACTAAATGATTTATAACACTTTAAGTATTTAATATTTTTATTCAACATATATCTAATTTCTATTTCAACCTGAATTGAAACTGCTAATCATGTTTCTTGAGCTATAACGTAAATGAGGAAGGAGAATAATTTTAAATAACAAGTGTTTTGGAGTGTTTTTTGAAAAAACATCTAAAAATGTCTTCTGTAAATAACACAGTAACAGTATTTGGGGATCTCGAGCAGTTACACTTACAGATAATATTTAGGCTTTTGTCTTTGTAAGCAATTCTTAAGAATCATATGCTATATACCTATGTATACTTTAAAATTATTATTTTGATACATTTTCTGCATATAACAGCACTCAACTTCAAAATAATCTATGCCACCAAAATTGAGAGGGAAGAAACTAACAAAATGCTGTTTTGCTAGGTACATTAAAAAAAAAAAAATACTACTTGGACATACATTTTTTTTTATTTTTTTTTTTTAATTTTTATTTATTTATGATAGTCACAGAGAGAGAGAGAGGCAGAGACACAGGCAGAGGGAGAAGCAGGCTCCATGCACCGGGAGCCCGATGTGGGATTCGATCCTGGGTCTCCAGGATCGCGCCCTGGGCCAAAGGCAGGCGCCAAACCACTGCGCCACCCAGGGATCCCTTGGACATACATTTTAAAGATAGATTTTGTCACAATAAGTAACTTGTATATGTATTTTAAATCAGAAATACCACATATAGTGAAATACAAGACTTGGCGCTTAGAAAGTGATCAATAAATATATTACTTCCCTTCTCTCTTTTGACCATTTAAAGTCAAATACTGAACAGCAGAAAATATTATTTTCCAGGAGGCAAAATGTTAATGTCTGTCAAAATAATTTATGAAGTAAAAATATAGTTCCTTATGTAAAAAGCAGCAAAATTACAGGGCCAAAAAAGCTCAGAACAACTACATTCTCATTTTCTTAAACACAGAAAAGGTATTGATTTAAGCTATAATTTAGTAGAAATTAAGTACCAACTACACTAAAACTTTTCATTTTCCAGCATATATATACTTTCAAGTTCAAGCAGTTCTCCAAAGTTAACTGAAAAAGAATGCTTTTTGAGAAAAATGACATAGGATTAAATTTAGCATTCAATATATTTGATTATTACAATCTAATTTTTCAAGTCCTGAGCACAACTTTTGGCATATACTCTTATGATTTAAATTTGATTTTTGCTGTTCTCTGGGTCTGGGCTATACTGATTTCAGACAAATCACAGTCATTTACTACATAAGCAATCCATTTCCAATAAAAATAACTAGGGGGTTTTCTTTAAGTAGCTATGGTATCCTTTAGATAAACCAAAAGCAAAATAAATATCCTTAATGTCTTCAACTTCAACTGGCCCCTTCAGTATACCTTTATTTGATACTACTCTCTAGAAAATAAATATACCTAGCAGTCTTGAAAAGCAACTAACAATGCTGTGGAAAAAAAGGGGCTGGGAGTTTATAACAGATTTCTCAGAACTTTCCTTGGCTTAAAGATCTGTGAGCAAGATCTTAAAGCGTGGCTATTACTTTAAAATACAAGCAAAACAGTCATTAGATATTTGTTATTACTGGAGACATTTTTGTTGCCCTCTCGTCAACAGAAAGATGAATCAAAAGTTTTGTAAGATTTTTCACAATGTGATACCTAACAAATACTACTTTTCTAGAGCTTCAAATCCTGGGTAAAGCATAACTACATGGACAGAAAGTGTACTAAAGTTATTTTCCTTTGTTAGCATTGTACGTTATAGTAAATTACATACTTTAGAGTTTTCTTTCTTCTTTCCCCAGAAGACCTGTATGACTAGACTTAAGAATTTTACTTTTTATTACTTTAAAGTGACAGTACCAACCCCTGCCTCCCAAAAATCCATGCCAACTGTTTTTAACATCTTTGTAAAAGAGTAGATGGTTTATTCTGTTCCACATTAATGCCCTTCAAAGGAACAGAAGATGAGAACATTTTTTTAGGTGTGGAAAACAGCTCCCCAGGATCTTAATGATTGGTTCTAAACTCAGAAATGACATTTTCTGAGAAAAAAAAAAACAACTAAATGACTAATTTACCAAAAGAATATGAAAATCATGTACTGTACATAAAACATGTACAAAACTTTAAAGAAACTGAAAACATTGCTTCAAGAAGTTTTAACTTTATATTGTACATTCAAAATACTGAAAGTAAATTTGAGGTATGAATCTTATAGATATTGATATTTAAAGATTAGTCACTTAGTTGAGGAATACAAAATATAAAATGGATTTTCAGCAAACTTCTCATCCCCAACTGAGAAACATCATATCTAAAGCAATTGCTTTTTGGTTCTGTGATTTTGGGCCCCTAATGAATGAACCACATACCTGATCTTTTGTAATATAGTAAGTTACTACTATTGCCTAGCAGAATCCTTACCACCTCCCAACACCCAGACATTTTAGTACTTACAGATCAATCCACCCCCAGATGCAAATAAGGGCTCTTAAGATCTTAAGATGTAACTTGGTGCTCTTGTGAATAAATACATAGAAAATTTCATAAACAGTGCTTAGTGGCCGCTTGGGTGGCTCAGTGGGTGCCTGGCTTCAGCTCAGGTCATGATCCTGGGGTCCTGGGATGGAGCCCCCCCCCCCTCGCATAGAGCTCCCTGCTCAGTGGGGAGTCTGATTCTCCCTCAACCCTTCCCCAAGCTTATGCGCTCTTTCTCAAAAAAAAAAAAAAAAAAAAAAAAAAAAACAGTGCTTACTACTAGATTAATCTTAGCATAATCCTAAGGTAAGATGTTTTTAAAAAGCGCTTTTGGGCTGATCTGGAAATCAAATTATCCATTTATGACATGATTTCCAAGAAATTAATTCTAAATTAAAAGGAACTAATGGACAAACTTAAGCACACAAAATATCTTTAAATAGACCAGAGTATTTAATGGTTGACAATATTACTTAATTAGCAACATTTTCCAGAGATCAACATATACACTCTCCTAAAATCACTAATTCTTCATTACCTATTTAATCTTTCTTCAACTTTTTTACCTGGTATCTGCTACCCATCTTCTGACAGTCAATTTTACAAAAATACAAAGAATGATCAATTAAACAGGGCAACAGATCAAGATAATAAAACAGTATGAAATGAACTCCAGACCAACTTCTCTAGTAAGTCTTTCCCATTCCTCCTGCTCTCAAAAAATATTTAGTCCAATAAATCCTTAAAAGAATACAAAATTATCCTCATCACACTGTGGTTAAAGTGCTAAAAGCAGTGACATAAACAGAATCCAAGTCACAGGACCCCAGAAGCAGAGATAATTCATGAACTTAATAATCACTTTTCAAACTTCAATCTTACTTTACTCATGTACAGTCAACCCATCAAGTGATTTTTGGAAATAATTAAAATTTAAGTAAAACGTAAGAATGAGAAACAAGTGTGTTTCTTTACTTAAAGCCAAGTTATAGTTAAAGCCACAGGGTGAGTATGCTGAGTTCTATTAACCTTCCCATCAAAATGACTTCTGGTAAATACACAATTTAAAACTGAAAGAGCCTATAGGTCTTCTTAACTGAAGATTTAAATAAACAAGTAACTTGCATAAGGTCATATAACAAGTTAAGGTAGAGCCGGGATAAGAACTTGAGGTTGTTTGTTTTTGACTCATCTCTTTTTTTAAATTATGGTAGCACATGCAAAGACCCTTGAACGTGGAATGAGAATGTCGTACACCGAAAGAACTAAAAGCCAAAGTGGCTGGAGACACAGGGCTGAGACGTTACACGTACTCATAGGCCATAATAAGACCATGTTAAGATCTGAAGAGATGTGGAAAACACTGAAGGATTTCCAGTTAGGAGAGACAAGATCAGATTTGCATTTCAAAAAGATTCCTCTGATTACAGGGTAGAGAGGCATTTGTCTTCATCAAAAAGAAAACAATCCTAATAAGAAATATATTTATTCAATTAAACTTAAAGAGCTGTTCTGATCCTTTATGTTCTCTCTCATTCAAATGGCCTTTCTTTTTTGAAATGATGCTGATGAAAGATGGAAGATATATTTTAATGTCATCACTTTGTAAACTTAAACCACTTCTCCCTTGTGGAGAAATTGGTACATTCATACACTGCTGATGGGAGCAGAAAATGGTATGATCCTCAAGGACAGGAATCTGGCAATCTCTCTCTCTCTCTCTCTCACACACACACACACACACACACACACACACAGACGCACACACATTCACTCTTTGAGCCAGAATTCTCATTTCTAGTTGTTTGCTTGGAAGACATAATTTTACTAATGTAAAAACATACATACAAGGTACAGCACTATTTGAAACTGTAACTATTGGAAACTACCTAGAAGTCCATGCAGAGGAGACTGGTTGAATACACTGCGGCACATATACAATGTAGTGGCATGAAGCCATGACAAAGAATGAGAAAGAGCTCTATGAACTGATATGGAGAGATTTCCATAAGTGAAAAAAGTAGTGTAAGAGAATACGTTTGGTATGCTGTCTCTGGTATAACAAAAAGCAAAATAAAAAGGCAAATGTATATTTGCTTATTTTTACCAAAAGAAACGTAAGAAAGATAAACCAAAAAGCAAGGAATAGGAGTGAGGAACAGCACAGAGAGGATACTGAAGGTTATGACACTTATCTGAGCGTGAGGCTTTGGGGAGCACGTTAATGTTGTACACCAGAATCAGAAACCCTTTTCTTTAAGGGTCAAAGAGTGAGTATCTTAGGCCTGTTACAACTTCTCAACTCTGCCTTACAGCACAAGAGCAACCACAGACAATACATAAGCGAGTGGGTGTGTCTGTGTTCCAATAAAACTTTACATAATCAGGTGGGTGGTCTGTGGCTGTATGTGCCACTTCTTGGTCCACAGTCAACAAACTAAAGCCAACAAGAATGAGAAAGAAAAAA